ATATATCTCAACATTCTATTATAGGACCATATATATATATATATATATATATATATATATATATATATATATATATATATATATATATATATATATATATATATATATACTTATGCATATTTTCCTGTTTATTATTTCTGGCTTCAAAACATGCATGTGATTTGAATAATTGTGAGGTAGGAGACCGTGGAACGTCAAGGAACACATGGAGAGCGAGGATATTCCACCTGTAAAGTTAAAAAATAGAAACTAAAATAATTAGATGCCCTGTCTTTGTGGAGCACACTTGCCTTGTAATGTAAGAACAGACAAAAGACGCCAACATGCTCTGTGACCTAATGTGACGGTTGTTTGCAGACTAATAAAACATTCCTCATTCTGTGCCCTCTGAACCCAAAGTGCCACCTCAGTGGAAACATGAACGATTCATCAGACAGTGGACGTGTTGTCACATTTGAATGAAAACACAAAGAAATCAAAACCTAGGTGCTATTTTCTCTCTTTTGTGGTGCTATGTATTTGTCTAGTTTGTTTTGTTTGAATAAAAGGAAATTTGTGGTGACAATAGTCCATCTTCAGAAGCACCCCCCACCTCCTCGACTTTCTTCACCACCGTATGTCAGTTTTTTACTTCCTGTCAGATCAGTACTCCTTGTCATCTCCTGCTTCAGCAGACCTTACACAGCAGAAAGGAGTCTGGCTGTACAAAACACCAAGAACGCTCAGAGGAAAAAGATCCAACCTTTGGTTTTGCATTTTATCGCTGCAGGGTTTTGCTTCGCCTCTTGCCGTCAGCTCATCGGTGCCACCTCGTACCGATGAAATGTTGCAACTCAGCAAACAGAAACTCTGAACTCTTCCAAAGATTTTTCACTTCATTATTTAGCTTTAATTGACTCAAACTTATGTTTGCACGGGGGAAACAACTTGAAAAGTCACCAGAAAATGTTGCTTGGTTTCCTGCTTTTTTGCCCTTCTTGTAATAATTGTCTTTTTGTTCAAACTATGCACTCTCTTGCTTATGACCACTATCTACCACAGAACTGTTACAGCTTTAAACATCGGTCTCTTTTGTTTCTTGATTTTTTTTTTTATCCTTAAATATGTGACTTGAACTGTTTTAAGGTATCTCAATATGCTTGTAGATCGTTTGCTTTATTTTTCATGATTTGCACCCAAATTTATCACGTTCCTCTCTGTAAAACAGAGAAGCTTTTATTTTATTTTATTGTAAATTTCCAGATGATTTAGTTTGATTTTGTAGATTCATGTGGTTTTCACAGTCCTGTCAAACCTGTGTAGGACGAGCAGAGGGAGGAAATTTATTGGGGTTTTGTGTGTGTCAATAAATTGAAGTTTACTGTGGCCATCCACTCCTGTATCTCTTTTGAAGCATTAAAACTTATCTGTATGCATGAAATTGTAAAGTTTTGTTCTCTTGTTTGAAGTTTGTAGATCTCCACCCAGCGCTTCATTCATCAGGAAACATCTGCTTTTTCATTTCTACTTTTCAATGAACTTGTAACTCTACCAAAACCAATGTTCATTTGTAGTATATTTATTGTATTATTTAAGATAAAAAAAATAAATGATAAATGATACCATAGTGTAAGTGTAAGAATCCCCCTCTTTATATGCACACAGGGAAACTGGTTGACTTTTGCACATGCTGTTTTACACAATATGGAAAGAAAAACATTTGATTATTACACTCCAATCAAAAAGTTTTGCTTTGTGTTTGCAATCTGTGGGCTGTGAATGATGAATGGCTGAATGTGTTTTCACTTGTTAACAATGACAAGGTTCCAGTTCCACAGATTCTCCAGCAGAGGGAAGATCTCCCACCACAGTCAGCTGCTGACACTTCCTGCAGATTCCTCCATCACTCAGTCTGTCTGTGGATCAACATTTTCTCTCTTCCAACTCATTCCTCTGCACCTCCTGCAGAATAGAGAGAAAAAATGTACAGTTTTTTTTTTTTTACATGTTTTCATTTACTGCAAGCTTTTTTTTCTGTGATCTTTATAATAAAATATGTTTTAATCCTGTCACGCATTGCTGATTTTAATAATCTGCTTTGATCTGATCTGATCTGTGCAGCGCCTCATTAGCAGAAACAATGAAACAGCACAGTGAGAGTTGAGCCAAGCTCAGCACATTAAATATAAAATCAAAAGCTTGATCTGCATCCAGCACATATCAATATTTAATGAAGTGTTTACTGGATGAATTCAGGATGATTAAAGTGCACAAGAATGCGAAGAAACAGCTGAATATTCTTAATCTGGGCTCAAAGAATGGGTCATCTACTGGAGGTGAGTTGGTGAGGGGGGTGGGGATGATCAGGCAGGTCCATCCAGTTACACAGCACCAATGCTCGTGTCACAGATTTGTGAGACAGTCTGCTTTTAGAACAAGTACAATAATCACAGTGTAATTACACAGTGATGAAATCTGACTTTAGTTAGATGATCTGGACGGTTTCTTTTTTGTGCTGAGATGTTACATCCGTCATCCAACGGACTTCTGCAGTCTGAGGAACCACCAAAAAAAACTGATTCACCACCAACAGCTTACTCCAAAGAGAAAAAAAAAAACAGTTATGTTGGTGCTAAGATGGTCTCTGGGGCCCGCCCTCTCCCTCGTCGACAGTCATGTCAAACTGGTTCCTCAGACTGAGGAATTCAGAGAGGAGCTGTTAAAGGCTCTTGGTGGTAAGAAAGAGCTTCCAAATGACTGGGCTACTACAGCAACAGTAATTAGAGAGACATATAGGAAGGTACTTGGTGTGTCATCTGGACAGAGAATGGATGTTAAAGAAACCAGGTGGTGGAATAGTGAAGTGCAGGATGCCGTTCAAAGAAAGAGGTTAGCTAAGAAGAAATATGACAGTGAGAGGACTGAAGAGAGGAGACAGGAATATAAGGAGATGTAATGTAGAGCTAGGCAGGAGGTGGCAAAGGCAAAGCAGAAGATGTATGATGAGTTGTATGGGAGGCTGTACGCTAAAAAGGGCAAGAAGGACTTGTACTGATTGGCGAGACAACGGGATCAGGCTGGAAAGAATGTGCAGCAGGTTAGGCTTGTTCAAGATGGGAATGGGAATGGTCTAACAAATGAAGATAATGTGACAGGAAGATGGAAGGAGTACTTTGAGGAGCTAATTAATGAAGATAATGAAAGAGAAAGAAGAGTAGAGGTCATAGAAACTGAGGACCAGAAAGTGGGAAAGATTAGTGAGGGTGAAGTCTGGAAACCTCTGAAAAGAATGAAGAAGGGGAAGGCAGTAGAACCTGATGACCAGTGGAGGTTTGGAAATGTCTTGGACAGATGGCAGTGAGGTTTTTGATTCAAATATTCAATGGCATATTTGAGGGTGAGAAAATGCCTGAGGAATGGAGAAGTGTGCTGGTGCCCATTTTCAAGAACAAGGGTGATGCACAGAGTTGTAGAAACTACAGGGGAATTAAGTTGATGAGCCACACAATGAAGCTCTGGGAGAGAGTTGTGGAAGCTAGACTTAGACGAGATGTGACTATTTGTGAGCATCAGTATGGTTTCATGCCAAGAAAGAGCACCACAGGTGCCATCTTTGCTTTGAGGATGAAAAAATTCAAAGAGGGTCAGAAAGAACTCCATTGTGTCTTTGTGGATTTAGAAAAAGCATATGACAGGGTGCCGATGGAGGAGGTGTGGTATTGCATGAGGAAATCTGGAGTGGCAGAGAAGTATATTAGACTGGTACAGGACATGTATCAGGACAGCAGGGCAGTGGTGAGATGTGCTGTAGGAGTGACAGATAGCATCAAGGTGCAGGTGGGAGTGCATCAAGGATCAGCTCTGAGCCTCTTCTTGTTTTCTCTGGTGATGGACCGGCTAACAGATGAGGTCAGGCAAGAATCCCTATGAACTATGATGTTTGCAGATGACATTGTGATCTGTGGTGAGAACAGGAAACAGGTGGAAGAGAACTTGGAGAGGTGGAGGTATGCACTTGAAAGAAAAGGAATGAAAGTCAGCCGTAGTGACAGAAGACGTGTGTGAATGAGAGGGAGGCAGGTGGAGCAATGAGGCTACAAGGAGCAGAGGTCACACAGGTGTAGGACTTCAAGTACTTGGGGTCCACTGTCCAGGAAAGTGGGGAGTGTGGTAAAGAGATGAGAAGCAGAGTCCAGGTAGGATAGAGTGGTTGGAGAAAAGTTTCAGGAGTGATTTGCGACAAAAGTGTGTCAGCAAAGGTCAAAGGAAAAGTTTACAAGACAGTGGTGAGACCAGCTGTGTTGTATGGTCTGGAGACAGAGACATGGACAAAAAGACAGGAGACAGACCTGGAAGTGGCAGAAATGAAGATGCTGAGGTTCTCCTTAAGAGTAACAAGGATGGAAAAGTTTAGGAATGAGATCATCAGAGGTACAGCACAGGTTGACCAACTGGGAGATAAAGTTAGAGAGGCCAGACTGACGCTATGTTTACATGTGCAATATTATTTTACTGGATTAAAATGTTTTCAGATTAAACAATTCAAATGTATCGTTTACATGGACACAATCCGTTCACGATGAGCATTTACATGCAGCGAGCGCTTATTCAGAACAGAAGTACTGACGTGCAGAGTGGTAAACTCTCCTTAAAAAAAACACAGAAGAAGTTTTACTTCCCGGATGAACGTAAACAAACCTGAGCACCCAAAATGGACCTGCGTCAGGTTTTAATGACGGAGACATTACTGCACTCCCTGATTGAGCTACAGGTAATACATATTATTTTAATGTCATCACTGTATGTTTCCATACAATGGCAAAATTAGTCTCTGCATTTAACCC